GAGCATGTTTGGTGGGACGGGGATTCGAACCCGTAACCCTCAGATTGTGAGTCGAGTGCCCTAACCACCTGGCCATGCCGGGCCCCGATATGTCATGAATCTCTATTAAAAATGAATACCCTAAATTGTAACACAGATTTAAACTTGACTTTTGATCAAACCGGTTTCTGCTGTTACTGGGGTGATATAGATACAATGACGTAATTTTAAAATTAAAATATATTACTTTATGTTTTCAAGTAAATGAAAAATATCCATATAATTAGGATAATTAAGCATTATAGATATTTTTTCCGATTTTACAAAATTAGAATATTACCCATGAAAGTAAAATATACTCTACAATAGACAAATCAACATTAATTTGATTTGTTAAGGTCAGTGATATTAGCAAGACTGACTAAAGACGAAATAATGATTGTGTAAAATAAGTACAGGTTTTAGAAAACAATCATCGTGTATGGGTTTACTTGGCAAAATAATTCTGCGCCTTTTTAATCAATTCCGAGTTCAAAAATTTAATTAATTCAGTGATAATTTGAACGGAAGCAAACTGTGATGACAATCAACTGTACGGTATAGCAGTAAAAAGAAAAGTAATAGCATGTAGCTTGTTGAATTTATTCTAAATATCTTTATATTCAATATTTGGAGTTCGTCTAACAGTTCTACGTAAAAATCATTTTAAATATATAAGCATCATGCTTTTTACCGATAAAATCGACAAGAGCTATTTAGTTACAAAAAAATGTAGGAATAGAGATATCGTGTTATTTTTGTCCTTTAGCAGGCAGTCATTGAGAGCAAAAAAATATAACATTAAATATACTCTTTTTGAGATTTATTAATACATATATGTTTCAAATCTTTCAGTAATTTAACCATATATGCAATACATAATATTCCTCTTAACACGAAAAAATCGGCTTCAACGCGTGATAATGAATATCTTTGTTTTACAGCATATCATATTTTGAAAATAGGTATGGAAATACACAGATGATACACACACAGGAGTCACAAACATTGATTAATTGCAAATAAATGTTCGTTTTACCAATCGTAAATACATATTATGGAAAATATAAAAAATGAGTAGATTGTGCAATGCACTAGTGTTTTGTAATTATTAAAACAGAGCCGTATTCTTAGTTTTATATTATCAAAGGATTATGATTGCGAAATCTTGTTCCAAATGTTCATGATTACTTCCGACAACTCAATTCAGTCAAGTTGTTTGTGTCCGTTTGATCTTTCCAGTTTCCACACAAGCCGATACTGCCTTAATAAAATTTATACTGGGACTTTGTCCAGTTAAATCCGTAGGTGCAACTATTTCATACGACTCTTATTTCTTACACGTATCATTTCACCACATATGCAGTATGCTATGGATCGTTGTTTTGCTGGAAAATGAACCCCAACTCAACAGATTCTGTTTCTTAGGGAATGTCATGATCGAAAAGAATCTGATTGTACCTTTCAGCAGTCAGTGTGCCATCAATTTTTTTTTCTATTGGCTTAGAAACAGTATTGCCGTGTATCCTGTGTAGAGTGACTTATCTGTCCGAACCTCGTGATACATTGTTAGGTTGTGGCTGAAAATATTGTTAACAGCGAGGGTACCCAACTGACGAAACAATGCATTCTAATCTGTTTAAGTATGGACGTAAGAAAAGTATATTTAATTAATTATACTCGTTACCAGATTAATTTTTATTTTTGACCTAAATAACTAATTTGTTCTGATTGGAAGTTCATATTAATTAACATCACTTTTGAAGAAAAATACCAGCTATTAATGCTTCTTTAAGCAGAGACATCTATAATGTTAAACCTATTTCTGTAATGCTATTTATTTAATTCAATTTCGATTTCAGTCTCTTTATTCAACTCTTTAATTCCGAACTATAATTCTTCATTGGCGTTAGCAATATTTCAAAATATTTTTTGCTTGGTCCATCACACTCATCTAATGCATTTTGTTTAATTTTTGATACTTTGACAATTCTAAATCAATATGTTCTTTAATTCTAGAATCTAATGTTCTCATTGTAGTACCTAAATATTTAGAATTACATCTAGGACATCTATATTCATAAAGAATATTATAAATCAGTAATTTGATATTTTATCGTTCACATTAACGAAATCTTTAATTCTACATAACGGTTTTAATATAAACATTAACTGAACTTGTAGACATTCCCTTCTAAGTATTCGATTAAGTTTATTTTAACTTCAAAAGATATTATTCTTACAAAAGGTAAAGAAAAACTTTCATTTTATTAATTGTAATCTTTTTCTCTGAATACAAATATTGTTTTTTTCAAAAGTCCTTAGTAACTTCATCTATAATTTTACGTAGAAACACATTTTCATCAAGAACTTTTAAATGTTATTAAATTATTTTACAAAACTAATAAAGTTTATATTTATCTTAGATTTTAGAAATAGATTTATTCTGCTAGCTTCGATATTAAATCATTATTTTTATATATAACTTTGAAAGAAACACTCGATATGGTTGTTAATCTGGTTTATAATCAGGATAAGCAAATAGTTTCTCCAAAGAAATATCTAAAATGTTATTGCATTTAACTACAAAATAAACACACTTTGTGTTTAATTAAGATATACATTATCAGACAGACATAGTTGCCATGGGCCTAGATTAGCAACTTAATTATTTCATATGATATAAAAATCTTTGAATAGAATATTTTTCTAAAGAATTTAAACCTATCTATTACAAGAGTCATGCAGATGACACTTTTGTTGTTTTTAAAGAGAAAGAACATATACACATATTTTTGGATTATTTAAATAGTGAACATAAAAATATACGATTTACAATAGAACATCAAGAAGAATATAAACTACCGTTTCTAGATGTATTGTTTGAAAATAAAAATGATATTTTGAAATATAAAACATGTTATAAAAATAAGATATGTACCTTGAGATTAATATTGCAGTCAGTAACTAGAATGTGTTTATTTATTTACCTTTTAACGAATAAAATCTTTTGAAATTAAAAAAAAATTAAATAATAGCTTAATAGAATACTTAGAAGAGCATATTCGAAATTTCACTTATATGTTTATAATAGAATCGATATGTAGAATTAAACATATCTTTAATGTAAAAGATTACATACTATAATTGCTAAATTCTAAGATGCTTTTCATCAAATTAGCTGTCCTAGATATCCTTAGAATATAGAATTAAAGAACCTATTGGTTTAAGGTTGTCAAAGCATTAAGTATTAAACAACGCGCATTACATTAATGTGATGAACTATCAAATCAAAATTATTTAAAAATTATTGCTAATGATAAATTACATCACAGTTATGGAAACTAATGAGAGTCCTTTAATAATCAGTCTGAAACTGGAAGAAAATGAAATTTTTTGTGCTAGAGAAATACTTTTTGTTCACTTTTGAAGAGTTTGGGCTTTCCATGTCGATCATTTCTATTATAAACAGTTCCAGTTTCACACAGCTTATTTAGGTATCTATACAGATCTCACAGTTACAGAAATGTCTGCTCAATCTATTTAGAAAATAGCGTTCTCAAGCCACAATTTGACTTGTACATGTTCGTCTTGCGGTATATCTGTTCTGGTAGCCATGAGCATATCAAAACCTTACAACTGTGAATAGTATGTACTTCAGTAGGCATTTTCTGGTGTCGTAATGTCTAGTTGGTTGTATGACAGCCAATAATAGTGTAAATTATTATCACGAGTCTGCACTCTTGTGTAGTTGATTTTTATATAATAAAAATGGAGCAATCCATTAATATTTGAATTTTATACCCAAAATATTCCTCGCTTCCACGATTAATTTAAATACTGTATATTCAAATCATTCTCTCTCATCAACTGAAAACCTGGCACGAATCTACTACGACAAAGGTTTATAGATTCCTAGTTTAGTACTGATAAGGTGCAACAAAGAAAAATTAGAGACATAACACAAAGAAAGTTTGAATATCTTCTTAAGTCCCTTGATTCAGTACCTTGTGGGGTTGTAACCTTTAAGTCATTTTATTCAGTACCTTGTGGGGTTATAACCTTTAAGTTTTAATGAAACAATACTAGACCTTAGTGTTTCTATTTTCTTCAAATTTTTTGTGATGTTTCAGCATCATGTTTTTATTCCTCTAATATCTTGAGGGTTTCAACTAGTTAAACCTGATTTTGAGGTGGTTGTAGTCCGAACTCTCAATTTTGGATAAACGTTTGGCCCCTATGAGACTTATAACCTTTATAACACTTGTATTTAGAGGTATTAACTGCTTTGGACCAGCTTTATGTGCAGTTTAGTCTTCAGTAGGGTATACCTCCTTCTGACCCTATTCTGATTTTTCTGTTGTATATTTTATATTTTAGATAATTTCCTGAATCTTGAGTTGTGATAAATCGAAAGGGTTTGACCTCCTAAGTCTAAAACTGTAATTACATCTCAAATTGGTCAAGAGATGACGGAGCTATGAGCTAAAAGTTTGTACTTGAAAAACAACAACAAAAAACTCAGAGCCATTGTATGAACTGTTATGCCGCAGCTAGAAATTGAGTTGATCATCTGAATGTCCAGTATATCTCAGATATTATGTTTTTCGTCACTTCCATACAACATCCAAGTGACCAACGCCTCAACTATCTTCCAAGAAACATCAGACATTACTCATATTAGATGAGTGTTCCTAGCACTCTGATAGTGGCTAATTGTCTCTTATGCTCTCATAGATGGGTGTTCCTATCACTCTGATAGTGGCTAAAGGTCTCTTATGCTCACATAGATGGGTGTTCCTAGCACTCTGATAGTGGCTAATTGTCTCTTATGCTCTCATAGATGGGTGTTCCTATCACTCTGATAGTGGCTAAAGGTCTCTTATGCTCTCATAGATGGGTGTTCCTAGCACTCTGATAGTGGCTAAAGGTCTCTTATGCTCACATTAGATGGGTGTTCTTATCACTCTGATAGTGGCTAATTGTCTCTTATACTCTCATAGATGGGTGTTCCTATCACTCTGATAGGGCTAATGGAATGATTCTTAGCAGAAAAAATGAAGAGGTGCTGTATTGTAATGTTGGTTAAAAATATTGATGTTTATTTGGCGTAGATGGAGTATAAAATGTTCTGTGTAGTTTGGCTTAATTGCCAAGGAATGTTCTGTGAATAAGCAGCATTGTTTGAAGTTAATTGATACTGAATGATTAGTTCTTTTCTGTGAACCTGTCAGTGATTATGATTTCAAAGCCAACATACATCTAAGTGTTTCCACATTTCTATAAAATTCAGAAAGAGGGATCATTTTAAAACATATATCACTTAAGTTTGATCCATTACGTTGTCATCAAAGGCATGGGTAAAGATTTATTGACGCTAACTTCCCTTTTCGAGTTTTAATCTACCAAACACGAGCTTAAATCTTTGCTTCCCGTTTTATTCAAGATGTATTGATTTCCACAGAGTTCCCATTGGACTCAGTAACCACACAATATTCATTTGTCTAGGGCAAAGGGTCCAGGCTCCATAGAGTGAATCCTAATAACATTGAAAGCACGAGCACGATGATGAAGTGTAGGGACGAATCAATAAAACCTATCTGAGTTACCTAAGACAACTGTTATCATTTCTTGAATGCCTCTACGCTCCCCTAATGCCTGAATTACAGATGTGATTAGAGAAATGGTTGATTCCCTCAGTCAGCGAGACCAAATTACAATTTTCAACCTGATGAAAAAAGATACAAGAACACAGTATTTTCTCCCAAGTCCAAAAATTAACTATTTGTTCCTAATCTAAATGCTCTACACTATAACTATTTGTTCCTAATCTAAATGCTCTACACTATAACTATTTGTTCCTAATCTAAATGCTCTACACTATAACTATTTGTTCCTAA